TAATCAATTAAAAACTCATGTGAATTTCAAGTTTAAAATCATTTTTTTAATTTTTTTTTAAATTCGTTTATAATTATTTCCTCTTGCGAAAGGCATATTTTTCAAAAAATGACCGTTATTTTTTTCCTGGTTAATATAATTAAAAAAAATTTTTACCGTTTTATTTCTCATTCAAAACTGAACAACTTTCACATAGAACATATTTTTTGAAACTGTTTATATTTTCGAGAATTTTGGAAATACCAATTCGTTTATAATTATTTCCCCCGCTGTACCTCATAATAGAGGATGTATTGAATGTTGATTGTATTGTGACTGAAACTTTTCAAAGTGATTTTTCCTTTATTTGATTTATAGTCCGCACGACTTGCGGGCTTTAGGAAAATTATTGTTATTAGTCTTTTAAACATAAATAGAATCAATGAAAATGTTGGGTTGGATATCAAATTACTGGTCATTGGTAAGTCTACGATCCGTACTTCAAATAGTACTTGAAATTCAATATTTATGGTAATATGACAGAACAGTTTATCAATCATATATTTTTATAACACTTCACTCTATTCAGATGCTTGCTGCACATCCTGAGCCTCACTCATACCATCCATGAAATTTATTGTGATTTTCTGATAACAAATAACTAAGTATGATTGATGCTTGTTGTTAGATGAACAAAATTATTTTTCAAGATTGAGCTTCGAGATTTTTATTTTGATTTTGATGAAAATCAATTGGAATTTCTTTTCCATATGGACGTAAAGTTCTGAGCTGTTGTGATGGAAGCTAAATAAGAATGGATTTATTTTTGGAAATATAAGACGTATGCATTAAATTTATGGATGGTATATATTAAATTCTGAGAAAATTGTTGAGATTTTTTTGATGAACCTTAAAATTATAAATTTCAATTTATGATCTTAAAAAAATTGTAAACTTGAAGAATAAAAAGAAATACTTGAAAAATTATTAACCCGTTTGCCATCAGTCTTGATTCTCATTTCCTTATAAATTTTCTTTTTTTATTAAAGCCACATTCATCACACGAAAATCCGCTGTACGCTTAGCTTGGAGAGGAAATATCAAGTCAAGACTTTTGAACGTTTTAGAATGCTAATCCACATGATAAATGTCTATTAAGCCAATTTCTTTTGTATATTTTATTTTTTTTTTCGTTCACAAAACTTGAGGAAGTTTTTATTTTTTGCAGGGGATGCATAAAGAAGCAAAAGATTTTGTCAGTCGGGTGCCTCAGCCCAAAGCCTTGGTTAAACCCGATTTATTGCTGCTTAGTGTAAAATAAGGTATGAACTCTCTGCAGAAGCAATTTAAGTTCAAAACATGACATTTTTCGATGCGCAGCTAGTGTCAAGGCACCCATTTGAATGAGATTTTTGGTATTTTCAGGTACTTAAGACCTTGATCGCACCCCTTGCTTCATCGCTGATTGTTACGACCCTTGATATTCCATCATCTCCACTTTGTGTGCCTCCTCTAAGGTTTCACTTCAAAGTTTTGGTTAAATATTTTATTCTGTGTGTAAAAGATATACATAATATTTTTCATGGCATAAAGAAACGACAAGAGATTCAAAAAGATTACAGCTATTCCATGGCTTCTTTTTTCAAGATAAACTTAAATGAAAGATTTTTTTTTTCGTTTTTTTTCTCTGTCTGCTGCTCTCTCTTTTTCCACATGATTTATAGATCTTGCTTAAGAAATACAATAAAATTTTTACCAAAAATGTAACCATAAATTTTTTTCTTCTCTTTCTCTTGCTGTGTGCTTGCTGCTTCATTTCTTCGTCGCTTTACAATTTTTTTTATAGACTCAAAAATATTATTCAAATAAATTTTTTTTGCGATTTTTTCATTCTTATGATATTTCAGCACGCTCAGTGAAAGATTCATTCCCTTTTTTGGAGCTGAAAGGTATGTAGGGGAGTGAGAGTCGGAGGTATTAAATATGATCGGATTTGTAAGGCGCATTAGCAGCAGTGAGGAATGAGGAAATGAATAAAACTCAACCTAGCTTCTGTGGATAGCTGCCGCTATGCTTTAGATGCACACACTTTCTACTGCCTTAAGGGCTGACTTAATGCCTTCTTTTTTTCGTCGGGTACCCAAATTTTATCTACAAAGGTAATACGTCAGTTGGATATTGAAGATCTAAACGTTCAAATTGTTGCTGAGAGAACCTTGGCTTATCCAAGAGACCTTCTATGAAACGGTGTGAATATGTTCATACCAGCTTTCTAGCTGATACACTGGGTGTCTTTACAGCAACAACTATCAAATCTCAACTCTCAAATTACGGTTAAAGCCTGACTTATATTCACCCAAAGTGCCTCCGAATCAACTCTAAAAAGATTTCAAAACTACACAAAAAAGTGAAGAAAGCAGCTTTCTATAACTCACAAAGTAAGGCAAAGGAGGATTTAAAAGTTGCCAAAAAAAAAAAAGTAAAAAGATGTGGCAAAGGTGTTTAATATTATCTCCATGCATTACAATTTATAATATCCCGCAATTCTTTTTCATTTCACTCTTTTTTAAACGTACAGTTCCATGATTTAGATAGAATATCTTTTAAACTACAGAACAGCAATAAATCTTAATGGAAATAAGAAATAAATATTTTATATCTCTTTGAATGTGCTTGGCTTGATTTGATAAGTATAAAATTGGATAAAACTATTGTTATTATTATTGTGATTTGTGGAATTTTTTTATTTACGGATTAAGGGTCGTTCACTTATGACGTCCATCAAAAAATGAGATTTTTAGACCTCCTCCCCCCCTCTGTCACAAAATTTTCATACAAAAAAAAATCTTTTGTATTGAGGTGTCACACAGCTTCAGATCCCCTCCCCCCCTAAATGTTGGACGTCATAAGTGAACGACCCCTTATCAATCAAAATGATGTCGTAGTATTCAGAATAGTTGACTTAAATAAACGTTGAAAATAGCGCCTACATAACAGAACTTCTCCAACCTTAAACTTTCATCTTCCAAATTAACTCACCTTGATTAGATAAAAACATCAAAATCACGTAATTTTTTTGACATTTCCCTAATTTTCCACTTCCTTAACTGAATAGCTAACAACGAAAGTCAATCCCCTTCAATTCCTAGAAGCATTTCCTACTTACTTCATATTTTTGTTCAGTTCTCCCACTCCATCTCGTCTGTCTGTCGTATAAATATTATACAATGAATGTTCAATTTAATAGAATCTCTCTTTTAGTCTTTATGCCAGTGTTTCTCAAACTTTTTGGATATACCGCACATTTTTTAAATTAAAAAGTTTCGCAGCACACCAACACATGAAAATATAGGGTCAAGTTTAGGATCCAAATAATTTCGCAGCACATTAGCATGCCGCGGCACACAGTTTGAGAACCACTGTTTCATGCTATGCGTCATGTCATGTAGTAACCTTTTATCCAGCAATAAAGAATACATCATAGAGAAAAAAAAGGATATTTGGAGTTGGAGGGGACATAGCCATAAATAAAGAAATGTGTAACACATCGATCAATTTTCAATGCTTATTTTCCTGAAATTGTCAATCAAAGAATTTGTCAGAATGAAATTATTTTGACTTCAATTCAATTTATTGGATGACGATATGACGTTGATTGTGAGATAGTTTTTGTGGAATTTATGTTTATTTTTGGATGGGAAATGAAAATTGTCATGGCGATTTCGTCCAACTGAATTAAGCTGGTTTATTTGAGATTTTAAGGCTGATGAAGTTTGACGTTTCCGTGATTACAGAATCATTTAGTCAAAAAGTTTTCTTTAAATACCTGTAAAATGATGTGATAACTTATTGCGTTATTGATTTGATTGAGGGACACTTCATAAATGATGTCGAGCAGTTAAAATTGATTTAGGGTCTGTGTTCAATCGAATACAATTTTTTTTAAAAGACATTTATGCTGTACAGCTTCAGACTCTGTTACCTTGTCATAAAAATGCGTCAAAATAACTTGCGTAAGATTTCCATCATCTGGTTTTAACTATTTTTATAGATATGTAAATTTTTATTCATTAAGCTTTTTTAAGTATTTTCTTCGGAAATAGATTTATTTGATAAAATTCATCTATGATAAGACAGTTTGTATGGTTGGTTGGTTGGCTGGACGAGCATTTAGATAGAAATATGAGGTCATTCAGTAATGAAAAATATGATTTCTAAATTCTCTCAAATCGTTGTCTCTTGTTTTCCTTTCAAAGCTCTGAACCAGTGGTTCTCAAATCATGTGCCGCGGCTTCTTAGTGTTTGCAAAAATTTTCCAGGTGTGCCACAAAAATTTTTATGTTAAAAAATGTGCTGTGGACACAAAAAAAACTTTGAGAAACACTGCTCTATACTACACTCGACTGACATAATTTGTGAATGACCCCTCAGATAAAATTATAAAGAATTCCGATAAGAAAATGCGCTTATTTAAATTAAGTTGCAAAACTTTTGACGACCTTAGTGTTTAAATTCTGATACCTGATTTTTTTATACTTTGAACGAAAATGTTACGCGTGATTTGAGATTATATAAAACTCATGAAAGCATCTTTGAAGATTCATTTATAATTTATTTCTTGGAACGTGAAGAGTGCGTAGAAATTAGTAAAATTAATTAACAAATAAGGCTTAACTTTAGGTGAATAAATGTTTTTAAAATTGTGGATTAAGTTTAATTTTTTTTTTAATTTAAAAATTCTACTTAAAATACTTTTAACCTAGCTTAAGTCTTATGTCAATGATAAGAAGAAGTAACTTTTAAATATTTAATTAAATATAAAAGAGACGAAAATTAAATGTTCAGTCATTACGTTTCTTATATTCGCTGAATTAAGGTGAGGTGCTCAACAGTTAGATTTGTGATGTTCCAAATTATTTGATTCTAAATTTTGGTGACGGGATGCTTTAAAATCCTGTAAAATTTAAATTATTAAAAATCAATCATTAAACAAATTATTTCTATAGAAAACCCAAGCTACAATGGAAGTAAAAGATATGGATGTTGTAATTTCTGGCATGTCTGGAAGATTCCCAAACTCCAACAATGTAAAAGAATTTGAATACAATTTGTTCAACAAGATTGATATGACGAATGATGATACAAGTCGTTGGAATCATTTTCAAGATGAAGTTCCGCATAGATTTGGTAAAATTCGCAATTTAGAAAAGTTTGATGCTTCTTTCTTTTCGACACTGAATAAGCATGCCAATTGGACAGATCCGCAAATAAGAATTCTTCTTGAGCATTCATATGAGGTAAATAATAAGAAGCAAATAGTTTAAGTATTAAAATGAGTGACTCTCGTATAATCTAGGCGATTCTGGATGCTGGTGTATCTCCACAATCTTTAGTTGGAACCAGAACTGGTGTATTTATGGGATGTAGTGTATCAGATGCCAGAGATGTGTTTACTCATAAGCTTCCTCCAAAAGATGGATATGTTCTTGTTGGGTAAGTTATAAATTCCATTGTAGTGGACCAGGTAGCTCAAAAATAGACCTAATTTTTTACTAGTAGCTTGTAGCTTATTTCATAGATAAAAATATTTGTTTAAAACAGAAATTCCGGATTTTATATTGCAAACCGTATATCTTATGCTCTTGGCTTATGTGGACCATCATTAACGATCGATACAGCATGTTCAAGTTCAGCGTATGCTCTTGACTGTGCTTTTCGTTACATGGAAGCAGGTAATAACTCATTTATATAATATTGAGTGGCACAATGCAGCCAACCTGCAAATCACGAGTGTCATCAACTTAACTGCGACTAAAGCCAGTTGTTGTTGGTGTCGCTCGGGTTAAGCTTCTAAATGGCTGCCACATGTGTCACTCGGGAATTTATTCATTTAATATTCAATTATTTTCTGTCTTAAAATAGGTTTGTGCGATACAGCACTAGTTGGTGGTTCTCAACTAATTTTGAACTCAAGAACAGCAATTGAATATTCACGATTGGGATTATTAGCAAAAGATGGAATCTCACGACCATACGATGTAGACGCGAGTGGATTTGTTCGTGCTGAAACAATTTGTGTATTGCTTCTTCAACGTCGTAAAGACTCGAAAAGAATCTATGCAAATGTTGTTTACAGTAGCTCTAATAATGATGGGTTTAAGGAAGAAGGTCACACATTTCCATCAAGAGTTATGCATCAACAATTAATGGAACATTTTTACAAGAATATAAATTTTGATCCATCAAATGTTAATTTTGTTGAAGCACATGCAACAAGCACTAAACTTGGTGATCCTGAAGAATTGGCTGCTATTGATAAAGTTTTTAATAAAAGCTCTGAAAGGTCGAAGACATTAACAGTCGGGAGTGTTAAATCAAACATGGGACATGCAGAAGCAGCCTCAGCAATGTCTTCATTAACTAAAGTGTTGCTCTCATTTGAAAATCACAAATTTCCACCAAACATTCACTTGAAAGCTTTACGATCAGACATTCCAGCATTTGCTGAAGGTCGAATAAGAGTAGCAACAGAAGTTGAAGATCTTCATGGTGAATTTATTGCAATGAATTCATTTGGACTTGGTGGTGGAAATGCACATTCACTGTTTAGAGGAAATCCTAAAGTCAAGATTAATTCTGGAATTCCTGAAGATAACCTAGGTCGTATGGTTTTGTGGTCAGGCAGAACAGAAGCTGCAATTAATGCAATTATTGATGATATCACACAACGTCCACTGGATGCTGAACATATAGCACTTCTTCAAAGCTCTCAAGTTCAAACAACAATTGCGAATACTTATCGTGGATATGGAATGTTCATAAAAGGAGAATCTGGAATGAATGCTGTCTGTACAAAGAAGAATATTGAATATTTTGATGGATCTCGTCGGCCAATTGTATTTGTTTACAGTGGCATTGGAAGTCAATGGCTTGAAATGGGAAGAGATTTGATGATTATTCCACTTTTTGCTCAGTCAATTGAGAACTGCCACAACATCCTAATGACTAAAGGAATCGACTTAAAGCATATAATAACATCTACTGATGAGAAAACATTCAGCAATGTGCTGCATTCATATGTAGGAATTGTAGCTATCGAAATTGCACTTACAGACATATTACGGGAACTCAAAATAGTTTCAGATTATATTATTGGACATTCAGTTGGTGAGCTAGGATGTGCTTATGCTGACAATTGCCTTACAGCAGAGGAAACTATATTAGCTGCTTATGCACGTGGTGAAGCAAGTAATGAATCCGAAACTATTAAAGGTGCAATGGCAGCTGTTGGAATGAATTATTCTAAATTAAAAGAAATAATGCCTGAAGACATTGACATTGCATGCCATAATGCTGAAGACTCGTGCACAATCAGTGGACCTATTGAAAGTGTTAATGCATTTGTTAATAAATTAAAGGAAGACAAAGTTTTTGCCAAAGAAGTTTCAAGTTCAGGAGTTCCATTGCACAGTCGATATATCAAAGATATGGGTCATAGTCTATCCAAGAAATTGAAAGATATCATTAAAGATCCAAAAGTACGCTCTGAAAAGTGGCTCAGTTCTACATACTCAAAAGACTTGTGGAATCAAACCAACGCAATGGTTTCATCAGCTGAATATCACACAAAAAATCTCTTAAATCCAGTTCTGTTCCAAGAAGTTACAGAAATGCTACCTAACGATGCTTTGACCATCGAAGTTGCTCCATCTGGGCTATTAAGGGCTATTTTAAAGAGAAGCTTGAAGGAAGGAGCTTATGTGAATATAACTGAAAGAAATTCGAAGGATGGATTCAATCGTTTCTTAGAAGCACTAGGAAGGTAAAATCACATTAATGGCTCAGAAGTAGCTCATTTCTAATTGATTCCATTTTATTTTTGACAGCATCTTCCAACACGGCGTTGACTTAGACATATCAAGAATATATCCATCAGTCAGTTTTCCAGTGTCTAGAGGAACTCCAATTATTTCACATACGATTAAATGGAATCACGAAGACAGTCATTTTGTGCCGTATTTTGACTCATATAATACATTCGAGAGACATAACATGCTCATCAACATCAGCGATAAAAAATTTGAGGTCGTTCAAAACCACATTGTTGATGGTCGTGTGCTGTTTCCAGCAACTGGTTGGATCTTTCTTGTTTGGGAAACATTTTCTAAAATGATTGGTGCTCATTATGAGAGTGTTAAGGTAATTCTTGAAGACTTGCATCTTTTAAGAGCAACAACATTAGAGAAGAATCAGGATATTCTGGTGACAATTTCGATACATCGTGCATCAGGAAGGTTTGAAGTTATTGAAGGAAATGCTCCCGTGGCTCGAGGTGTGATAAAACAAGCAGAAAACATCAAAATGTCTGAAATATCACCACCTGACGATAACCAAAGTGCTTTAACAACAGATGATTTCTACCAGGAAGTCCGTCTATCTGGAATCATCCTTTTGGGGCTATTTCAAGGTGTTACTGAAATGTCAAATGATAACTTGAAAGGAAAGATAAGATGGTCTAACAATTGGATAACATTTATGGATACGATCATCCATTTTCATAACAAACGAGTTCTATTCTCTCGAGAGGTGGCAGTTCCAGTTAGGATTCGAAAATTTATAATTGATCCAATCCTGCATTACAAGATGGTTGGAGAAAAAATTAAGCAATTTAAGGCAGCAAATCCTGATAGAGACGAGATGGATATCACTTTCGATGTTGCTGCATGTCCACATCAACAAATAATAAATGCTGGTGCTGTTGAGGTTCATGAAAAAATTTATTCGAGGATTCAACGAAGACTAAAGCATCAGCCACAGCTTGAGATTAATAAATTTGTTCCATACTTTACTGAAGAAGTGATGTCTTTGGATGATGCAGCCAAACTAATTATTCAGATGTTAATTGATAAGACGAGCAGAACGAAAGTTGTTATAGTTGAAAAAGATAATGAAGCTGATGAAGAAAAGCTTTTATTTTCTGAGTATATTCAAAAAGCCATAGGTGGAATCCCTCAATTAGTTGGCGATATGACTTTATTAACCTCTAAAAGCAACTTAAATATTAAAGATGTAACAATTGGAACTGATGATATAACATCCATGAGTGGAATTGATCTTCTTATTGAAGACAAGTGTTTTGGAGATCAAAATAAGATTCAAGAGCTTAAATCAGTTATGAATATTAATGGATATATAGTTTCAAGAGAAACTCAGTGCTTTTCTGATATTCCTCGTGAAGATGTCCAGTTAGTTGCTAGAATTCGAACAACATCTGACGAAATCCTACACATTTTACAATTTGCTGACGATTCTGTGCAGCACAAAACTTTTAACATAATTAAAATCACATCAAATGTCACCGACTGGCTTGAGCCGCTGAAAGCTTCACTAAAAGAATCTTCGACCATCATCTATGCATATAATCAAGAGCCATCTGGAATTCTTGGGTTCATTAAGACTCTCAAACTTGAATATCAAGGCAAGATTAAATGTTTCTTCATTATGGACACAGAAAATGCTCCTTCTGACTTTGACATCAATGATGATTTCTTTAAGAAGCAGTTGAAATTAAACGACACTATAAATATCTTCAAGGATGGAAAATGGGGAGGTTACAGGCACTTAAACATTGTTCAAATTAACAATTCAATTCCACAAACTTCGCATTGCTTTGCTGATTGTCTCATTAAAGGTGATCTGTCGTCATTAACATGGATGCAAGGATCATATGATATTAATGATTCTAAACTAGATCTTGTTAATATTCAATGCTCATCATTGAACTTTAAAGATGTCATGTTAGCTCTTGGAAGAATCACGTCATATAAACCAGGAAAAGTTATCGAGGAAGTAGCAAACTTAGGGTTCGAATTTTCTGGAACTAAACGAAATGGCGAACGAGTTATGGGAATTGCAAATAGTCCAGGTGCATTAGCCACTCATTATGATGCTAAGAATGCAATGTTATGGAATGTTCCAGATTCATGGACATTAGAAGAAGCTGCAACGGTTCCACTTGTCTATTTTACAGTTTATTTTGCCTTCTTCCATACAACAACAATCAAAGCTGGTAAGAAAATTTTGATTCATTCTGGAACTGGTGGAGTTGGACAGGCAGCTATTGAGGTCGCATTTGCATATGGATTGGAAGTTTTTACAACAGTCAGTACTGAGGATAAGAAGATCTTCTTACTCAAAAAGTTCCCCAAATTAAAATCTGAAAACATTGGAAATTCTCGTGACACAAGTTTTGAGAAGATGGTCATTAAAAATACAAATGGAAAAGGTGTTGATTATGTGCTGAATTCTTTGGCTGGCGAGAAACTTCAAGCATCAATCCGTTGTTTGGGTGTTGATGGCGTGTTTTTAGAAATTGGCAAATATGACATTCAATCAGGAACAAACCTTGATATGGGATATTTAGGGAAACGAATAACACTGAAGTCTGTTATTTTTGATGATTTGGCTTTAGATCCGAATGACATGCAGGTAAGTTGTTGATGATTTGTTGATGGATTGAAACTCCAGAATCAACTCTGTTTTGATTCAACAGTTCTAAGTTGACTACTGGATGATGTTTCTGGTCATGGTCTAGTTCTAAGGTTCTAAAGTAACATCTAGTCACTCTTAAAATTAGACACTAATGCCCAAACCATCCAGTTATCTCGTTAGGAATTAAACAATCCTAATTATTTAAATTCGTATTATTTCAGTTCGTCTATAGTCTGGTCGACAAAGATCTGAAGTCTGGAATCATTAAACCACTAAATGTTACGGTTTTTGATGCCAATAAGATTGAAGATGCATTCCGATACATGACTACTGGTTATCATATTGGCAAAGTCGTACTCAAGATGCGTCAAAACGCAAACGATAAATGCTCATTGCCATTAAACTCACTGAATCGAGTTTATTATAGTTCTGATGAGTGCATCATAATCCCTGGCGGTTTGGGTGGTTTTGGGATTGAACTGGCTGAGTGGCTCGTATTAAGAGGATGTCGGAAATTAATTTTGAGCTCAAGAAGAGGAATAAGTACTGGAAGACAGGCATATAAAATTGCGTAAGTTAAAAAAATCTAATTTTTGCATCCAAACTTGTAATTTACAATTTCTATTCCAGCCTTTGGGAATCACTAGGTGCAAAAGTAGTTGTCAGCACAGCAAATACAGCAACAGAAGAAGGTTGTGATGAATTAATCAAACAAGCAAATGAACTCGGCCCAGTTGGAGCAATTTATAATCTTGCTGGTGTCATTCGTGATAATCTATTTGAAGATATTGATGAGACAGCCTTCAACGAGACATTGGCACCAAAAGCACTTGCAACAAAACATTTAGATAAAATATCTCGAGTTCTATGTCCAAATTTAAAGCATTTTGTTGTATTTTCAAGTGTAGCATGTGGACGTGGTAATATTGGTCAAAGTAATTATTCAATGGCAAATTCAGTCATGGAAAGAATAATTGAGGAAAGACATCGAGATGGATTGCCAGGAAAAGCTATTCAATGGGGTGCAATTGGTGATGTTGGAATGCTTGCTGAAGCTCAATTAAAGGATATAGGAAAGGACTTTTTGGGGTCTATTCCTCAACCAATTTTATCGTGTTTTGAAGTACTTGACACACTTCTCACATCAGATGATCCAATAGTATCAAGCATAATTGTTGCTGATAAAAAATCAAGTAACTCTAAGAAAAGAAACATTATTGATATAATCTTCAACATTATGGGAATCCGAGATAGAAAGTCAGTTTCAATGGATTCATCATTAACACAGCTAGGCATAGATTCACTGACAGGAGTCGAATTACAGCAAACAATTGAACGAGAATTTGACATTTCTTTAACATCACAAGAATTGCGATCACTTACTTTGAATCAACTGTCATCGAGAGTTACTTCAAAGAACATTAAAAGTCTAGAAATTGACGAAGAAGTTTCAACAACTGAAAGGTGGATGACAATAATGATGGAAGGTGTAATCGATAATAATGCTAATCTGATCACATCAGAAACTATCGTTAAAGCTAATGACGTTGAAAATAAATCAAATACAAAGGTTTTGATAATTCCTGGATTAATTGGATATGCTGCAAATGTTTTTCGTAATCTTGCAAAACAATTGGACTTTCCTGCTTATATTTTACAACTAATCCATACGACAGATTGCAAGAGTATTGATGATATTATAACAAATATAATTGATCATGTTTTAAATCTCTTTTCTGATGCTGAACATTTCATTCTTATTGGTCATTCTTTTGGTACGATTTTAACTTTAAAGCTTGCTAAAGTTTTAGAAGATTGTGGTAAATCTGGTCAAGTAATTCAACTTGATGGATCGCCAGAATTTCTTAAAAAGTATACGATTCAAAGTATTCGAGAAGGAAATCTCCCAAAATTCAATAATCACATATCGATGATTCTTTTTAATATTTTCCAGCAATTTGTTGATTCCAAAATTTCAAAATCTGCAATTGAAAATCATAAAACTTGGGAAAGTAGACTTAAAGCAATGATTGCAGCGTCTGGAAATAAAATACCAGCTTCCTATGAACAGTTATCGGATCAAGTTTGCGTATCCTATACAAATCGATTGAATATTACTCGTGATCTTAAAAATGAAGAGTTTTCAATTTTAAAGGCAACAAAAATTTCATTAATCAAAGCATCAAAGCCACCAGTTGCAGGATTTATTGATGATTATGGATTATCGGTATTTTCAACAAGCAGCATTGTTACTAATACTGTTTTTGGTGATCACACAACATTCCTTCAAAATCCTGAATTATCAACAATAGTAAAGAAGTTGATTTCGAATTAAGCAGAATATTTGGAACTTTCTCTTGGATCATTTAATATCCAGGATAATCAATGTCCATAAACATTTAAGTAAGAATTCAAGCTTTTATAAATATTAAAATTGGTTTTATAATATTTTGTTGAGTTTTGATTTGAATTACAAATTTTTAAGATAATTCAAATGAGTACAATCTTTGATTATTTCCATAATTGATTCTAATCTTAAAAAATTGACATTCCCGATTCTTCCAAAAAGAATTTTGACATCGTGTGTACGAGACAAACTTGTTTACATGAAAAGTGCTGAGTGCTAAAATTAAGTCAATTTATCAATAACTAGCAAATAAAAAAAAAGAATGTAAACAAAAGTAATGATCCAATAAAACTAGCAATTTACAAAACCACAACCACAAAAACATTTATTTCAAGTCGAGTTTGCAAAACAAAAAGAAAATCTATTGCTTTAAATCTTTTCTTGGTTTAAATCATTCGATGTTTAGTCTTTGATGTCACGATTATTTGATTAATGTTGAAGACAAAACAAAATTAATTTTTTCATCGTGAATCGAGAATTTTATTTTTAAAGAATTGTAGAAAATTCAAGAATGGAAAGAATAAAAAAATGGAATATAAATCTTAAACTCGTGAAACCTAAATTGAATTTTGTGTGATGAAGCTTAAACACATGCCTGCACAAAATGAAATTTCATCAGAAATTAATTATTGAACACAAATCCTTTGATTTCCTTAATTAAATTTACTTAGAAATCAAAACAAAGAAATTTAATTTCAAATGTCTTAGTCAATTCTAAAATTCACAAAAACTAAAGAAATTTCAATCCTTAATTCAATTAAAATTAAAAAAATTTAATTTCAAATGTCTTAGTCAATTCTAAAATTCACAAAAACTAAAGAAATTTCAATCCTTAATTCAATTAAAATTAAATTAGATTCCGCATTTTCAATAATATTCAATTAGAGAAGTTCATCTCATGCATAATTGCATCTAATTATTGAAAGGATTTGAACTTTCATTACATCTTGGATACTGTAAATTGATTACTAATTGACATGAATGCACGAATTATTTAGAGATGTCATTTGAAATGTAATGAATGTTGCTGAGTTGTATGATTTATGATTTTCTGCAGAATTGGTGTGTTTTTGATTTAAATGATGGCATGGATGGGGGTTAGGCAGGAATCTATCAAAATTCACAACTTGAATCACATGATATAATTCCAAAAACCATTAAAATCGACCAACTCTTCCCAGAAAAAGATAAAAAATATTTACCAGAAGAGGAAGTGATTCAGAGACTTGTAAATGACAACAAAATTGATTCGACTTTATATGCAAAAATACTTTTCTGATGATTTTGCTTAAATTATTTAAATTACATTGAGATGTCAATGCTCGTACATGTGTTATGTCTCAAACATAACATGAGCACTCATATTACCCCCATCCACACACATATAGACACATAAAACCGACTAAATTGATGACGATAAAATGGGATGAAGGAGAAGAATGAGAAAATTGAGAAATGACAGAAAATCCAGTTATGTCAATGTTTCTCGTTAAGAACATCCGGAAATTTTCCAATTTTCATCAAAAAATCATTCAATAAAGCCTATCGCATGACAAATCAAACACTCCTTCATGATTGTTATCACGATGAAGAAGAAATGAAAATTTTTCCTTTTGCTCCCTTCTTGTGCGTGTATCATATACAGTCATACATGAAGGTTTGTGTACGTTTGTAATATAAAAAGACGTTAAGTTGAAGTTTTCTTGAGTTTTTGTGTGGAAAGTTTGACAACGCACTTCAAAATTTGTTCAATTATGCTGAGTTTATGTTCAATTTGGCTCAGTTTGTTTTAAATTTGGGTTTGAACAGTTTGAATTAGTTCCGTTCTGTTCAATTTTGTTCATTTTATGTTTAATTTCGTTCAATTTTGTTCAGTTTGTGTTCGATTTGGCTTAGTTTATGTTTAATTTTGTTCAATTTGGTTCAGTTTGTGTTCAATTTTGTTCAGTTTGTGTTCAGTGTAGTTCAGTTTGTGTTGAATATGGCTTAAATTAATCCAGTTTTGTTCAATTTAATTCAGTTTGTGTTCAATTTAATTCAGTTCTGTTCAATTTGGTTCAGTCTGCATTCAATTTTGCTGAGTTTGTTTGTCAAATCTCGATAGACAGTCAAACATTGACTATTACTCCCATTTAACCACGAGTAAATCTCGTCATCAAAAAAAATTCAGATCAAAAATTTCAAAAAAGCACAGAAAAACATAGCAAAGTAAAAAATATAAAGAGAATCGACAAACGAAATGGAATGAGAGGAAAAGTTTGCACAAAAAATATTTGAACAGAACAGTTTCCTTCAAATTAACACACTTCAGTAAATAATCGAAAAATATTTGCACTCGACACGATGAAGTAATTGAATTTTCCAATATTAAAGTCTCCGCTTGAGTGCGCCGTTCCGGTTAAAGGTTTGTTTATTCATACAATTTCTATCATGATGATGAAAAGAAGAAGGAAAAGCGACGAGAGAAAGAAAATCATTGTCATTTTCTTTTGGGACGCAATTTAATCAACTGCTTTTTGTCGATCAAAGATGAAACATCGAATTTCCTGTAGAATGATGATTTTTTTGCTGCTCTCTTTAATGGGTTCAGTACATACACATCTATGAGTAGCTATGAAAAATATTGTTCTATATTTATGAATGGCAGATTGTTGAATGAAAAGCTCATGCTATTGACCTCAATATTATGCAAAAAGTGATTTTTATCGTTGGAAAAATGTACTTGTTTAAATATTTATGAACATTGAATGATGTTTTGTCATATAGATGCTGATTCCTGGGGATGGACCATAGTTCTGATAGTTTAAGTTGAATTGCTTTCATTTTTCAATACTCTATCAGATTCTGTCAATTTTTATAAATATTCTCAATACTTTCTCAGATTGTCTTAATCCTCTTAGATTCTCCCAATACTTTCTCAGATCCTCTCAATCCTCTTTCAAATTTTCTCAATCTTTTCTCAGATTCTCTTAATCGACTCTCAGATTCTCTCAATCCTCTCTCAGTTTCTCTCAATCCTCTCAGATTCTCTCAATGACCTCTCAGTCCTCTCTCAGATTTTCTCAATAACCTCTCGGTCCTCTCTCAGATTCTCTCAATCCTCTTTCAGATTCTCTCAATCTTCTCTCAGTCCTCTCTCAGATTCTCTCAATCTTCTCTCAGATACTCACAATCCTCTCTCAGATTCTCTCTCAGTCTTCTCTCTCAGATTGTCTTAATTATTTCTCAGATTCTCTTAATCCTCTCTCAGGTCTCTCAATATTGCCAATAGTTCATTACATTTTACAATCTCAAATGAATCTTCAACACTCAAAACGTGTCCACCTCTAGACCATCAATCAGAAAACGTCATCACTTTCCATATTTCAATTATAATAAAAAATAGGTAGAAAAAGAAAAAAAATTCCATCAACACTGCTTCTTCAGTTATTAGTGGATTGTGTTTAACATATTAATAAGATTTTTTTCACTTTCAATTATGTAAATTCATATTAAAACCAGTAAAAAAAATAATTCAAGTGGAAATATCATCATTATTATTATTATCATGTTCTATCCGACATTCTTAATTTCATTGAGGTATCTTCATCATTCCAACCGCAGACTCAAAACAAATATTGTGATATTATCAGAGAAATCACGTTTCAGTTTTTTTTGCAAATTGTAATCTGGGATTGAATTAATAATTTAATGAGAAGTGAATGATGATGAAGATGAAAAAAGTTTGTTTTAAAGTTTTTTTCTTACTTTTTGTTGAGATGCAAGGACGAATGATATGAATGATGAATTATAATTTCAGATTTATGGTTTTTGAATTTGCAATCTTGAATTTTAAAGGTTCGTCTTGGTCAAGGATTTTTTTCTAAAGAATACTGAATTTTGGAATTACACTAAGTTTTTAAAACTTTTAAATAAAGGAACAATATTTTGATTAATAATATTGAAAGTGAGTTTTTCTTAAATTTTTAATTATTCTTTTTCAAATGAATGTCGAACGGATGCCATTTTAATTTTAAAATATGTGGATTTTTCGGAAATTGAGAATTCAAGCTTTATGGATTGATATGAGTACAGGTTTTTGTTTTTTGTGGCTTTACCAACTTTTTAATCTGTTTAAAGTCAATACTTACTAGAAAATAAATCATTTTCATTGTAAAACTCGAGAAAAACTATTCGAAGTGAGAAAAAAATACCGCCATTTTGTTTTTCTATACTTATGATTTTTAAATTTATGAAATCCGTTGGAAATGATTTTTCACAGCTTAAATTTTGCATTTCTAAGTAAAACTTCTAGAATTCGTCATCAGTTTCTGTTGCTAGAAATTATTTAAAATTCAGAAGAAATTTTTATTATTAAAATAAAACAAAAAATCTCTTCAAGGAAAGTTACAAAAATAAATTAAATATAAACTCAATTCCCTTCAATAAAAAGTCAAAAGTTTTTCACCTTTTTACCCATTTCTCAACTTTATTATAAACTCTCAGTCAGAAAAAAATGGTAATAAAATTTATGTATGCATGGAAACAAGTAACTCCGTGATAATATACATAAAAGATAATCAGCTATAAATGAACAAAAAAAAAATAGGAAAAATATTTTCCAAGATTGAGCGAGAAAATAAACTTTAAAGTCATTGAATTGTTAATGAATTCAGGAAGATAAACAGTTTACCATTCGGATGGAGTTGAACCTGTAAAATGTAAATTGTTATGCATAAAAATAAGTTTCAATTGAAATCAACAATTTTTTTTTACCTTCATGAATTCCCATGAAATTAATCATCCATCCAGTTCCAGCAAAATGAACACTCTGCTTATAATGAACCTTAATTTTACTTCCCGAACCGACAAATATAGCTGGTTTGTCATCACCACAGTAGCTTTTTGTTGCGACAAACTCTTTTGAATCATTTTCTTCTAAAATTTCTACATAATCGTTCTCACATGTCAATTTTGATCCCATGTCAAATACTGTTGAAATGGATAAAATAAAAGTTTATCTTTGTCATCGTACGGAAATTGGTTTGAATGTGGTTATTTTTGAAAGACTGAAGCGCATTATTTTGAGAAAATAACCTTCAAATGATATAGGCTCGTTCACAAATGATGTTCATCGTACACAAAAGATTCTTGATCTTTATGGAAATGTCACTTTGATATAGATCTTCTTTGTTTCAAAAATTGTTCGTCATTTGCAGACAACCCCTTCAAAAAATCAAACTAACCAGCCAGACAGACAGACAAACAAAATCACAAAGCATTTCCTTATCAAAATAATGCGCCATAAAAGTAAGAAAGAAAGATAAAAATTCAAATGACATACCAGTAAACTTAAGTGCCATTTTTAGATTTTGTGGGACGGAAACTGTCCAAGTGCAGTCAAAGTTCGTTCGATTATTGCTCGGATATGAAGGACTGCTAAACATTCCACCATAATTGAAAATTTCACCACCACAACCGGGTCCCTTGACTTTCTCAGAAGCCACATATAAAATATCATACATTCCTCGACTGAACGATGTTGCATCTTTCTCATATTGTACGAGAATCGAAAGTTGATTCCCAGTTGAGAATATCGGATTGGGAGTAGCATAGCCACAAAGTGTCTTTAAAAGTGCACCGTTCTCAAAGTCTCCATCATAAACTTTCATAAAAGCTTTCTCGCAATCATTCTGATAGAACATAAATCGATAGAAATAAAGGGAGATTGTATAGTCTGCAGGCACATTTATTGATGTTTGACAGCTTTCAGCTTTACTATCCGAGATGATGCGTCCTTGAAGGGCTGTGAATGTTCTTGAGCAGACGCTGACTGCTTTAATGTCCATTTTGAATCCGGAAAATTCATTTTCAGAATTGGAAGTAAACATGATTTTGATTTTTTCACTTGTTGAGTAGTAATCATGTGGAATGTTTGCGCCACAATAGATATGAGGAGCATTTGGACCTGAAACTCCCATGTAAAATGATGGATTTATTGTAAAGGTGTGCTTGCCTTTGTAAATGATTTCTTGACCAAGCCCTTCTAGTACATATTCACTAATCTGACTGTCCTCAATTCTTAAGCTGTCACTGGAACAATTGTCTGATTCCTCAAGCTCAAATCTTGAAAATCTAATTTCAAGATCGTTCCTCATCGGTGCCTCAATCGTCCACTCACATCGAATGTTTGGTGGATATTTGACAGAATTAAGAGCTTTTGGAGATTCAATTGTGAATGTCTCATTAAAATGCATACTGAAGTTGTAGTAAGGCTTAGATCCACATGGTGATTCTATCATTTGGGCAGTCATTTTAAATCCTGTACTTGATCTTATGGAGTCTGTGACAAACCTAACATAAGCAGCAGGAACAGTCGTTATTACATCATTTGGTACGTCATGTCCACAGAATCTACCTATAGACTCACTAAATGGTCCATTTCCATTAAGTATCTCCACATAATCACAGCTGCAGTTCCAAATATGGCCAGGTATATTATTATCATGTGGCTTGTCAGGATCACAGATGGATAAATGGATCTGATTGAATGATAATCTAATAACACTTCGTGGCTCAGCTGTGATTTTAAAGATGCATTCGAGGTTGTTTGCATTCTGCTGGTTGGTCTTATCAATCACGTAAGTTGCATTATTTTTAGTCAGGATGATTTTCTCGTCACATTGCTGTTGGAATGTTATAGATGCAGTAAAGCCACTGTTATCTCTTACCTGATCTGTTCTTAACTTAATTACAGCTTCATTACTGTCAATCACAATTGGACGAACTGTAACATTTCCACAAAGTTTTGCAAGCCTGAATGTGTCATTGTCCAATTTACCTTTGAAGATTTCGACATTATCATAGGAACAGATTTCAGAGTAATCAAGATCAATCTTTTCGAATTTAATGACAATTTTCTTATCAGCTGGTGCTGAAATATTCCAGACGCATACTAAGCTTCCTAAATATTCCCACATATTCTTAATGTTAGCTCTAAGATTCTTTGGGGATGTTATGACTGTTGAGTTTTTGATGATTCCACCGCATGAATCGAGATTGTATTGCACCTGGAAGCCTTTCTTTTCAATCCATTTATCAGTTTTAAGGATCAATGACATTGGTTCTTTGTACCTGAAGGATCCAGGATTTATTGTTCCACAGAATGTTCCAATCTTTCCATCCAGCATGCCATATTCCATGATTCTACTTAATGTGATGTTGTCATAAATACACTTGCCACTTGCTGACTCAATGTCAAAGTCCAAGAACTTTAAATTTAAAAACGCATCAGGAATCGATGACACAAATGTATAGTTACAGATAAGTCCAGGTGGATAGTTCTTTGGATATTTCGGACTTGTCAAAATTCTAATAGTTCTGTCAACGCTTATTAGTCCACCACAAACTTCTTCCCATTCAGCATTAAATCCATCACCATTGATAGCTTCATCTGAATGGAAAATGACTTTGAGGCGTGTGTATGTTGAATTTATTGGTTTTGGTGTGTCTCGTCCACAGAATCTGCTTATCACCTTCCATTCATTGTCGACATAGTCATGAATCTCAACATAATCCTTTGTACAGTTTGTTGATTCCTCAATATAAAACCTTCCAGAGAATTTAAGTCCAACTCTGAATCCAGCATCAGCTCGAATCTCCCAAACACACTCGGTATTTGCTGGATATGGCTTATCATAAAGTGGAGTCGAAAATTTATTTGTAAATTGATTTAAAATCCCGCCACATCCAAACGATGAAGTTTCAGCCTTAATTTCAAATTGTGAATCTTTGCTGGCTCCATTGAAGTTCTCAGTGTGATACTCAATTAATATTGACTCCCGTTGAGACAGCAGTTGATCGCTATTAAACTCATTTCCACATAATTTAACTAGAGATGGACTTGCTGGCGTTGGTCCGTTGTAAATTATTAAGTATTCCTGATCACATGAAAGTTTAAGGTTCAATTTATTGACAGTAATTGCAACACTAAATCCTTCCTCATACTTAATATACCAAGCACAGTCGAGAACTGCATAATTAGCTGTATCAGCTGGAAGATTCTTAATTATTTGCGTTCCTGACTTGAAAATTCCACCACATTTATGAGTCTTGTAGTTTAAATTAAATCCAACTTTACCAAAGTATGGACTCTGCTTAACTTCAATCTTTACATCTGGGAATGGAGATATAATGTTCTTCCTTTCTGTGCTATTTCCACAAAGTCTTCCAAGGTATCTGTCACTCTCCTTAACGCCTGATTCCCTTATAACATTGATGACTGTTGCTGCATATCGACAGTTTGTCAATCGCCTTCCAACTTGCAAGTTTGAGAAGTAATAAGCTAGTGTTCCTGTATTTGGTGCTGATGGGATAATTGGTTGATCAATACGCGAGTAGCTGCATGAAAAAGCAATCAATTCCATGTCAGGTGGTGGATAAATGGAACCTTCTAATTGATTCATGTCTCCAAAGCAAACTGTGTCCTCGTCACTAGTGAACTTAATCTTAAATCCACGATTTGGTGAGCTCATTCTGATCCAGGATGTGACCATAATTTTATTGTCACTTGATTTGATTATTCCTGGATTTGTGCTGTTTGTAACAAACATCATTCTATTGGAATAATGGAAGTCATTGTAGATGCCAATCCTTTGTGCAAATCTGTTTCCAGTGTTGATTATGTCAATGTCTACGAACTCTAGAGCAACTCTCTTTCCTTTCGTGACTGTAATCTTCCATTCACAGAATGCTCTTGTTAGCGTTCTCGATGGATATCCAACACTTGTTATAAATCCTGAATCTGAATTGATTTCACCACCGCAGCTTAGTTTTGAGGCATTGTAGAAGAGTCTAAAGCCTCTATAAAGCTTTGATGTCTTTTTGAAAGTCCTAAACTTAATTAAAATCTCATTAGATTCACTCATAATGGTACCGGATGGAATTGTGTTTCCACAGTATGTTCCAAGTTGCATAGAACTTTCACCATTTGTTGAATTTCCATCTGGAACGATTGAATAAATCTTAATATGATCTTTTTCTAGGTTGCAGGTCTTGTTGCCATTTTCATTGGAATCAAATTCTTCAGCATCAAATGGCAGGTCTAAGTCGAGAATCTTAATCGTGAATAGATTATTTACTGGTCCAATGATTCTATATTCACAGGTTGTATTACTTGGATATGCTCCAACTCCAGGATATTTTGGTGATGTAAGATATCCAATGTCAGATGTTCTCAAAGTTCCTCCACAAACTCCAATGGAAACATTAGCTTTGAATCCATTTTTCGGTTCCGGAATGTCAGTAAAGAATTTCACGCGTAAGACGTTTGATTTTGTGTATTTTGTTGGTGGATTCTTATTTCCACAGAATGTTTCAATCAGACTTGCTGCCATCGTTGAGCCTTCCCGAAGTTCCACAAATTCTTTTTCACACGAACTGCTCACCATCAAGTCAAATCTGTCGAGGAAGTCAATGCGAATACGTTCACCAGCTGGAGCTACAATTATCCATGTACATTCAATGTGTGGTTGTGGAATATTTGGATAATTCGGAGAACTAATAATTGATGATGAATATGCCGATGAGAGCGTAACTTGTCCACCACATTCGTGCTGCACTTCCGTGTATCTTAATCGGAATGTATTTCTGTATGGCGAGAATGTTTTGTACTTTATAAAGGCTCGATTCCCTGACGTCATTGGAATTTCAACACTTTTATCTGTGCAGTATTGGCCAGTTCCAAGATATGGAGCAGAATCATCATGTCCATTTTTGATCATCACATAACCATCACACCCGCCTGTAATATTTTTGATGTTTAATTCTAAGAATTCAAGTTTAATTTTACGTCCACGAGCGACTGTAATATTCCACATACAGTTTTGAGAACGAAGTCCAGGATTCTTCATAGTATCAAATTCGATAATTCCATCAGGACTTGTAAAGACACTTCCACAATAAAGGAATGTAACAGCTGCAAATCCAGTCTCATTTTGACTGTAATCTGAATGAAAATCAAGTTTGACATTTGGAGTTCCATGGAAAGATCTGCGCTCTCGTATGTCCATTTGACAAATCTTTGCAGCCTTACGCCATTTATTACCAGGTTCACTAAGTGATACTTTTGCAAAATCACCATTACAATCTGTTATATCCTCAAGATCAACGTCAATAAATTGAAGAATTGGATGATATGAAGTAAGTCCTGACACAATTGTCCATTCACAATCCATTGTTGAGTTATAGCCAAATGGATATCCAGGTGATGTGATATTTATAAACTCATTTACATTGTTTAGTGATATCACTTCCTTTCCACAACCTTCCATTGTGTAGTTCTCGGCTGTCGCATTTTTTTCCACTTGACTCCATTCAAGACGAAACCTTGACTTTCCAAAAGCAGAATGATGAAGCTCTATATACACAATATTAGCTTCAGAAATGAAAGCGTCAGCATGTTCATAGCAGATCTCATCAGATAAAGGTGGTGCTGTTTCATCATATCCATTATAGATTTTAAGGTACGACATGCAGTCTTCTGGATCATCTTCATTCATGTAAAATTCTTTAAAGTCTATTCTTATCACAAAACCTTGAGTGACTGATATTCTATAAGTATAAGCGACTAATCCTCTTTGTAAATATGGATAATTTGGTGACTCAATAGCACCCGACTCCCCATCCAAGTTTGAATGTGCTGCATATTTAAATTTAGCCAAAAATCCATTACTTGCTGATAAATCTCCTGTTCTATACTTAATCCAATAACCCCTAGAGTTTGCGAGATTTTTCGTCACTTCCTTTCCACAAAATAGTCCTACTAAGTCACCATTAGCATCAACCTTGCGTATCTCTAAGTAATTTTCATTACAATTTTCGGAGCTGTGGGACGAGACAAAAAAGAGATCCAATTAATTTAGTATCCAAAAGCTTTCAAAAAATTCATCAAAACACCCACGTTGTGATGTCTATATCCTTGATTTCTAATGTAAGCAAATTGCCAGCACTTGCTGATATCGTCCACACACAATATGTATTCAATGGACTCGATTCGGGATAATTTGGTGATCCAAACTCTCCTTGTATGCTGTTTTTGTAAATTCCACCACATGCTGTGCATTTAAAATTCAATAGAATTAATGACGGTATTATTAAGTAAGTACGGATGTAGTTCAGTGAGAATTGAAGCAAAAAAGCGATTTTTGTTCTTGACTTGAAAATTTTAAAATCGTTGAAGTAAAAAAATTTAAAATCCGTTAAAATTCAAAAAATTTAAAATGCGTTATAAAGTAAAAATTTCAAATCCATTTCACCCAAAAAGCAGTTAACCTCAAACTCACATCCACAAATAATCAGCTATCTGTAATTAATATCCTTACCATTATCGAGCACTGAGTAGTGAATATCAAATTCTGATAATGAGCTCATTGATGTTGTATTTAAATACACAGTCAACGAGTTTCCATGGCTGACAATTGCCGGGGGTATTTTTGATCCGCAAAATTTAACTCGTTCCGCACCAAGTGATCCAACGTCGCCTTCGTACACGTGAACCCTCGAGAAACATTCCATTTCCATGTCAAAGAATATTCTCGAATATGTAAAAGTCAACGTGACATGTTTTGATGGATCGCCGGCTATAAATGTCCAATAACAATCACTTGAATCTCCAGTTGGTCTATAGATTATTTCACCAGTGTCATTTGCAATAATTCTTGAGCCACAACTGACTGAGAAGTTGCCAATGAAACCTTTTGCATTGATTGTTGCGTCACTGATTAATCGGACAACAAGTTCGTTCCTTTTTGATGAAAATTTAGTGACATTTAATGTCTCAAAGCCTCCACATCCTTTAAACAGAACTTCATCAAAGATTGGATCATAAATTTCCAGCACATCCTTTGTACAGTTCGGGCTGCTTTCAATATCAAAATTAGTCAACTGGAATGTCACTCGATGAGCAAGGTCTGTCTTAATTTTCCATTCACAGTACTTATTATTATCATAGTTCTTTGTTGGATATGAAGAAGTCTTAATGACTCCATTTGTTGCTATGAAAACGCCACCGCAATCTGACACAATACTTTCGTACGTGATGTTGAAACCTTTCTCATTATGCGATTCATCGGATTCAAATTTCACAAAAGCTTGATGTCCATCAATAGTAACAACCAATGGATTCCTTGTACTCTCACAAACTTTCATTATTGTATTATTAAAGCTTCGATCGTGAGCAATAAGCAATGAATCAAATTCACAGCTCACAGACTTTTCCATTTCCATGCTTTGGACAGTCAGATTTATATTGTAGCCATACTCAACAGCAATTTCCCATATACAAATTATTTCGTTTTCGTAGCGTCGTGGATAATTAGGAGATGTAAGACTACCGGAAGGATGTGTCAATTTACCGCCGCAACCTTCATTATACCATTCAAGACGAAAGCCTGTGCTTACTGCTGCTGGGTCTGTGTGGAACCTGTGGATTTAAATGGAATGAGAATGAATTGGTTGGAATTTGGAGACATGACTCATTCAGTTGGTTAATGAGATTAATTGTTAAAGTTTAGAATTTAAAAAGACGTTAAAATTCAAAATTTAAAAAGTCGTTATTATTCAAAACTTAAAAAACTGGTGAAATACAAACTTTAAAAAAACTAGTAAAATAAAAAATTTAAAAAACTGGTAAAATTCAAAATTTAAAAAGCCGTTAATATTCAAAATTTAAAAACCCGTAATGTTCAAAATTTAAATAACTGTTAAAATTTAAAATTTAAAAAACTGTTAAAATTCAAATTTTTAAAAATCCGTTAAAATTCAAATTTAATAATCCAATAGAAATTCCAAAAATTTAATAATCAACTCAAAATAATCAATTTCCAATTTCTTAAAATCCCCAACAAATATTAATGGCATAATTACATGACAACAACTGCATCAGTTGAACTATTACGAATTTCCGGAGCTTTATTGCAGTAAGTTTTCAATGTCTGCGTCTTTTTCTCCTTTGCCTCATAATCATAATCATAAATTGTCACATAATCGTATTTGCAAATGTGCTCGTTGGTTTCATTATGATATAGATTATCATTTTCCAGATTAAAGTGAGAGAATTGCATGTTAACTCGATTTCCTTTTGACACTTTAATTGTCCATGCACAGTCGAGATTGTTTGGATATTCTTGTGGGAAATTCAATGACTCAATGATTCCTGTGTCAGATTCAATCGTTCGATTACAATTTGCCGAGTACTTAATATGAAAACCTCGTCCTGAATGAGACTCATCTGTATTCATACGTATCATTGCATGATTTCCGCTTGTCTCTATATGAATCGGATGATGTTCACTTGAGCAGAATTTCCCAAAGCTTTTAGCACTGGCATCAGTGCCATCAAAAATCTCCAAAAAGTCATATTTGCACTCAACATGCTGCTCCAAGTCGAGATCCGAAAAGACAATCTGTATTGATGAGCCTTCATTTACTGAAATTCTCCACTCACATTGGGAATTGTGTGGATATGAGACTGGATAATTTGGACTTTGAATTGCACCTTTTGCTGTTGATAGGACACCGCCACATCCAAACGTTGTCGCATCCCATTCTATCTCAAATCCCTTACCATTACGACTCGAGTCTGAGTAGAAACGTAAATACAGTTGATTGCTCATTGACTTGAATGGTGGAGGGAGCTTTTCACCACAGAATTTTCCGAGAAGTGGTGCTAGTCTGGAAACAGATAAAAAATCAATGACATGATGTTATAGGAACGAGGAGGTCAAAATCAAACGTTGATAGACAACCTCTTGAGGTTATACATACTTAGATCCACCATTCCTTATCTCTAATCCATCAAATTTGCATGCCTCATGAGTTTCCATCTCAAAATAATTAAAAGTCAATTGAACTTGATATCCATTTGGTGCTGTTATTGTCCATTCACAGTCTTTGTTTGCCAAATAACCTGATTGACCAGGACTTCTAAGCTTGCCACGTGTTGTGAAGAAATTGCCTCCGCATACTGTTGGATAAGGATTAGTAAGATAAAGACGTGTAGTCAGAAATTCGTCGAGTGTAGTTTCAGACCCCTTTTGACTTATCTGGCTTCTCCCATGCCCTTAAAGCTGCTCCTTAGCATTATCCAAAGTACTCAAAATTAAATTTATTAACTACTCTAAAATACCGAGAGGGAAACAACATGATGAGAATAAAATTTCCCATCATGTTGTTTACCCCTCATGAAATACTCTCTTATTCAAGCTTTTATAAACAACAAACTTAAATAAATCCACTTACATTTTGACGACTCTATAAAATTGAACGTTATTGTAAATCCATCCTTTGATGTTGACGAGTCAGTGACAAACAAAATTGTTGCTAGATTGTCAACAGTTGTTATGACTTTTGGAGCATTCGATCCGCAAAACGGTCCAATTTGATCACCATTTCCAGAGCCATTATTGAATATTTTAATGTAGTCATATTTGCATTGCGTGTCGAGTTCCAAATCAAAATTTATGATGTTCATTTGAATGACAAAGCCTTCGGGAGCTTCGATAAGCCATCGACATTGAAGATTTGGTTTATAAACATCAGTTGCCGTGTCCATTGGAGGTTTGACTGTCTCTTTACTGTCTCTTATTAAACCTCCACATTCAATATCGACAAATGTATAGTTAGCCTTAAATCCACGTCCAAATACAGACGCATCTGATGCAAATTCAATGTGCAGGTGATTGAATGATGATGTGAAAATTCCTGGCTTTTTGTCACCGCAAAATTTTCCAAGTGTTGTTGCATTGTCTGCTTTGCTGCCATCAAATATTTGTAGATAATCAAATTCACATGTTGAGTGCTGTTCAATATCAAAATCGAGGACATTAAGAACAATAATTTTTCCCTGCGGTGCTATAATATCATATTCGCAGCTTCGATCACCTTCGTAGTTGTTCGGATAGTTTGGTGACTGTAAATATCCAGATTCAGCCGTATATATACCTCCACAAACTGTCAATCGATAAATTTTCATGAATTTTTCAAGTTTATGAATTTATGGCACCAAATACTCACTCAATCGATACTGCATTTGGAACCCGTCATCTGATTGTGACCAATCTGTAGTAAATTTTACTGTCAGGATGTTTGTTTGTGAAATTATGATTGGTGGCTTTTGTGTTCCACAGTAACGACCTATTAAGGTGTCATCGTCATTCATTTCAGATCCTTCGAAAATCTTAATAAGGTAGGAAATATTGGAAATTAGTTATAGTGGGGATGGTTTTATTCCTAGGGGCATGCAACTACATCTCTATAGACTCAGGAAAGAAAATAATATTAAGGGGTGTGCAATTACATCTAATTTTAAATTTCATGTATTTTAAAAAGCTTTTGTTTGCAGATTCTATTGCTAAGTCTATCATTAATTCTAAGGGGTGTGCAACTAAGATGTGATAAAGTTTTGGGGGCATGCAACTACATTAAAATTTAACTTTTATGTATTTTATCTCAGCAATAACTAGCTTTGAGGAAATACATAACATTTTATATAATTATTTTCGAGGACCATGTTAATTCTCTTCTGGGAACCAAAAATATTGATCAAATTACTAGACTTACTTCAACTCGATCAAACTTGCATGTCGAACTTTCCTCCAAATTAAATTTCTTAAATTCAATCCTCACTCTCGAGTCCGTTGGCATTTGAATGACATAATCGCACACCAAATTATTCTTATAGCTTCCGGTTGCAATATCTGTAGGTGATGATAGGTCACCTCTTGGCGCTGTATATATTCCACCACAACCAGGAATACCCTCAATAACCGAATATGCAATTTGAAAACCAGCATCACTTCCATCACCATCTGAATGAAAATGTATTGTTGCGGTATTTCCAGGTGTTAAAACGGGCGCTGGAACTGTTGAATTACAATATTTCCCCAAGCTCGGCGTTTCAATTCCCACACCACTATGAATTTCTAAGTAATCAAATCCGCACGTTGCATGAGACTCAATCATTAAAGTATAAAATAGAAATTGTATCCGCTTTCCAGGTGGTGCGAGAAATTTCCACTCGCAATCTCGATTGATCGGATAGTTACCAGGTGCACCAGGCGATGATATTGTTCCATGTCCTGTTACATTCATCTCTTTACCGCATTCTGTATGTTGGGAAATAGAAATGCGGAACGGTCAGCACAAAAACGAAAATGAATTTTAATGAAAATCTTTACAAATGCAGCGAGCATACATACTTGGAGTTATTGATTCCCATGATAGCTCAAAGCCTGCATGTGCTGTGCTATTATCGGATCTGAACCATAAATAAAGTTGGTTGTGTGTGCTCATGATATTTCCACCATTCGGAAGCCTCGTCATGTTGCCACAAAAGCGACCTATCAAATGTGATGCTGCTGTACGTCCATCGTGGATCTGGATGGGAAGAAATATAAATTAAAATCTATTGGTAGCAGACAAAAGCTTCTCAAAACCACAAAGCCTGCACAGCCAGGAGCTGATTCAAAAAAATGTGCTTTTGTCAAGCATTTGTAGACAATTTTTATTATTTTTAATGTTTAATTGATTCCTCATTAATCTCACCTGAAGCCAATCATACCGACAATCGGTTGTGAACTCAATATCGAATTTTTGGAATGTGATATTTAATACTTTCGTATGATTAGTTTTAATAAGCCATGCACAGCGTGAATTATGATTATATGATGCTGCTTTTGGATCAGCTGGATAAGCAAGTGTTCCATTTAGAGAATTTAATACGCCTCCACATGTTGATGCTTGATTTTGACATCTGTTTCCTGAGAAGCCACGCGGGCATGCACATCGAATGAAGCTTGAAAATCTCGTTGTTGTACAATTGCCGCCGTTCTTACATGGATTTGGTTCACATAGATTTGTCGTTCGGTCACATAAAGGTGGATTTGTTCCCGATGGACATGAACAGTATGCTGTTGTTCCATTTTTCATGCACGTACCGCCATTTTTACACCAAAGAGCATCACATGGATCGACTGTGTGCGGGACACATCCATTCTCACCATATCCACTTCCTTTGTAGCCAAACTTACAGATGCAAGTTGGTGGTGAATTTGGATATTGATAGCATGCAGCATTTGGACTACAAATACTTCCATCTGCACATTGATTTAAACGTGATGGTATGGGACGGGATGATGGTAAGCATGTTTTTCCATCTCCTTCAAAACCGAGTGGACAGCTTCCACAACTGCGGTTAGGCAAAAGAAAGTATAATAAATTTAATGACCGCAACAATGAAACACGAAACGATAATGAATTGAAATCTCACCGGAATGAACCTTGGGTATTTATACATTCAACTTTAGGTGATGTGCTACAACCGCCATTATTTTCTTCGCATTCATTTATGTCAATACAATAGAAACCATTTCCCGTAAAGCCAGTCGGACAGGGGCTGAGTTTTAAAAAAGAAATTGAATTATTATTCTTGAAGTGAAATTTTGTTTATTTATTCAGGTGTGATGGGGGAATTGAGTCAGGATAGAAATTGTTTTGGATGTAGATGAACTATGGCGCATGCTGGTACGGCTGCCTTTGAGTTGATTTTTTACTTAATAGGAGCCCTCTACTTCCTTTTACTTAGATGTGAGCTTACGTGCGTCTCAGATATGAATTTAAAGTAAGGACACTCAATATAATGCTAAGGTTCTATATAGAAACCAATTCATGCTTTTTGCGAGCAGTAAATCTCATATCATAGCCGTGATACAACCTTAAGTGGAAGCATCAAGGCATGTTCACGTTTAACCCGTTATAACATCAACCACGCAGTTCCTTACCGATCATATTGTGACACTTGGGTTCAAGACATAGCAACATAGAGCTTATAATGCTATTCAGACAATAATAAGTCCATAAAGCAATTTTATAGCACCCCGTGCTTAATTATACACCCATACTAAAGTTCCTCCCTCGAAAACAAATGAATATTATTTAATCCACAAACTTCTATAGCCGTCTATCAGCCGAACAACAATAATATTAAGCAAATAATCATCTGTGCTATGAAAACCATAAAGCACATCAACAAATATGAAAATATTTATCCTCTTCTTACCCACAAACGAAAGATCCAGGCGTATTTATACATAAAACTGGCGGATCAACAGAGCAATGTGGTCTCATTTCCAAACATTCATCAACATCTTGTGTGCATGCTTGACTATTATTATCTTTCCTCCATCCTTGCATGCAAATACACGAATATCCATCTTTATTGTTGTCTGCTATACAACTTCCATGTCCACAAATTTCCATTTGAGGCACTGACAGACAATCCACTTTACGTCGATTACAATTCTTTCCCTTCCATCCATCCATGCATGAGCATCTGGTAAAAAAAAAAATTAACACAAAAAATAAATTTAATCATTTTAATAATTCACAGACTCATAAGATCCAACGGTATTGATGCATGTAGCACCATTTTGACATCCGAGATCTGTTCCGACATATTTTGAGCATTCATTAACATCATTTGTGCATTGTGGACCTTCCCAATTCTCAGGACATTCACAACGATATGTGTCGAATACATTAAAGCATATCCCACCATTTTGACATGGATATGTCTTGCAATAATCTCTTATAAGTCGTTCCGTTAAATTTGCAACTCGCTGCTCGAGGACTGTGATGCGACGACGAAGTCGACCTATTCCTCGATTGTCATTTGATACAGTAGATGAGACATTGCCACCACCAATTTCTAAACTTTCTATTCGGATATTTTGACGACGAACAACAGCTTTTAATTTTCCAAATTCACTTGCTAGAGCGTCAAATGCCTGTGAGTTGATGTTGTTTTGTCTATTGCCCTTGGTGACGTTTGATGGATTTAATAATGACAAAATGTCAATGTTATTTACAAGGAATCGACTTTGTCCATTTAATTTTATTGAAACATTCTTTGATTCTGCAGATTCGAATATTAAGTTGCCGTCATTCACAAGAATTTTTGGTCTGTAAATAGACAAATTTGAGGATGAATAGAAATTTTCAGAGAATTTAATTTAATTTTAATTACTGGTCATCGTAGACTTGCGAAGTTGTCAAATTAAGAAGCAGTAAAATTATCACAAAATTCCACAAACTCATAATTACATTTCACTTGAATATTCACTTTATGGATTTATTTACTAATGCACTGAATAATTCACTATGAAGAATCGAAGGGTCAGATTCTCAATTTTATACAATTTTCTTATCAGAGGGCGTAACGGCTCTTATCGTCTCATAAAAAAATGTGAAACTTGATAGTCGCTAATCGAAAATATTTTTTGTGGAGAATTTGAATAGAAAAGAATGCAATTTCAGTCTAGACTGGACAGCAAAAGCTTCTAGATGTTGCTAGAATAAACTTTTGATTAATGTGGGTTGCTTGATATTGAAGTGCTTCAAATTGATATTTTAAGTCTTTTTAAATTAATGCTTGAAAATAAAATGTTATAGACTTAAGTGGCATGCAGTTCTGTGTATTTTTACGAATTCTAAAATTTGAATTTTTAACGACTAGGCAGCAGTATCTTAAGTAATAGAGCGTTGACCTGACGAGCCAAAGGTTCAATGTTCAATCCCAGACCAATTCAAGTTTTAGAAGTTCGTTGTTTGCCATTTCATCGTTCTAGTTAAGAAGCTAGGTTCGTGTGTTGGTGAGTTTTGAGGTCTACGGTACATACAGCGTCTCCTTTGCCAGGTTTACAAGGATAAACAAGCAACTGGATGATTTCATTAAGCATCTTGCACACATGAATTGTGACTAGGTACATTGCAAGTACATCAGGTCTGTAGATGTACTCGTGTCTTTGCAATGTGCAGTGCTTGCAATTGGTCCGGATTCCACTATAAACTGTAGGTCTAAAGTGTGTGGTACAAAAGATTCTGTTCTAAATTGAAACTCAGTGTCTTCAACTCAAAAAGCTGGGCCCTATCCATGCTTTTTAGAGCTGATTTTACGTTTTCAAAACAATCATATTGCTGTGCACTACGAATCTCAATAATTTTCCAGATTAGCAATATTGGCATGTCCACACACAGTTGAAAGCCAGACAATAAAATCCATCCAATTCGTTTCTATTTTGAGGCGGATTTATCACGAATTAAATCATTCAATTCATTCACAAAATACCATACAATCATTCATATTTCGGTACGGGAAAATACCAGATCCAAAAAGAATATTTCAGCACGAAAATATTAAAAAAAAAATTTCCACTGATTAGTTTTCAGACTCGACCGCGTGTATATGTCACAACAATACACAGTACTAATCTACTCATAAATTAAATAAGTACACATAGTTGCGGTTTTGAGTGCAACTGAATGAGAGATAGCAATTAGGTGGTGGATGTTGTGCCGTGTGAAGTGCGAAAATTTGTCATTTCATGTGTCATGTACATGTTAGATGATGTTAAGCCGTGCATCATGTTGAATGATGACAATAATTTTATTGTTCTAAAAATTAACACTCATTCATGAGCTTCCTTCTCATTTTTTTTGGTGCTGTCTCATTTTCATAGCGATGCCTCTCTTTTTTGTCTCATGACAATGTATGTGCTGTATGCTTCATAGGACATCATCGTCACATCGATTTGAATTTTTTAAAGCTTTATTCGTTCTTTTCTCGAGCGAAAGATGAAATGTTTCTGGAAATTTAAGAATTTGACAAATTAGTTGGATGTGAGTTTCATGTACAGTTGCTGTTATGTATGAAAAATTAGCTAGTTGCTCTCTTAGTCGTTCACATATGATGTCAGAGGTGTAGCCAGAAATGAGCATTTTATTGAGTCAATTGTAAATTTTGCCAGTCATCTGAGACTTCCTATATGTTTTTGGTTAATTTATATTATCAATTCGCATTAAGCCACGACTTATTTCAACTTAAGCTAATTTTTAGCATTCATTTTTAGATCAAAAACTTTTCTCATGACTTTAAAGCAATAGGAAAACAAAAAGTTGCACCACAACCCCCTAAAACACCCACAAGATCACAAGCAATTCCTCCTCCCCCCCCCCCCCCCCCCCCCCCCATTTTTTTATGTATGCACTGCAACCAAAATGACAAAAGTGCATTTGCACAACATAGAGAAAAAAAAATAATTTTCCTCCGTATGTCGTGAATGAGTTTCAAGTGTCATGAGCTTAATGGGATGTTATTCGATTTTTCTGTTTTTTTGGTTTTTATTGCCAGTTGTGTTACGACATATAACAACACAAAAAAGAGAGCCAAAAAAAAGGAATGAAATTTTTATTTTATTTAAATGTAGCGGTGTTTGTTGAAAAATTTGTAAACTATTGTACATGTCATCTGTCTCGTATGCATCTCATATTGTATTAAATTTATGTGCTACTTGTTTATTCCTGCCACTTTGATGCAAATTAATTTGATACGTTGAAGTTTTTGCTTGTGTTTCGAGAGTTAACGTCAAGGGGTGGTTCATTGTTCACTTTTTGGAGGTTATGCTGTGGCTAGATAATTGATGTTGTGGAGTATGTTGCAGGAGTTGTTAGCTTCCAGTTTACAAGATGTTAATTTACAACTAGCCTGGGATTTGACAGGAATTTGAAGAATGGAGAATTTTTTTTGGGGGGGGGGGGGGGGGTTGATTTTTCGAATTTTTTCATAAAAACCTTAGCAAAATGAAGAAATTTCTGGATGCGTAGGGGGACTTATAACCCAAATTTTAAGTAATAGTTCTGAACATGATCTAAACATCATCTTCCAAACCATTTTTTAATTTAAAAACCGTGAAAATTAAAGGAATGAAGGGGGGGGGGGTTGACTAAGGAAACATCTCTGATTAAGTCAGTGATGGCCAACACTTGCTCCAAAATCGTAAAATCCCACGATTCAAAGGGTGCCGTTACACAAAAAAGGTTGTCTACCACTGGAAAATATGAGAAAAGTTAGGAATAGAACAGAACAACTGTGAATAATCCTACCAGAAATCAATCTTAGAAGCTCTCAGCTCACAAAACCTTCAAACCGCCCCAAAACCTACAAATTAACACCCCTCGCATGTACATAAATCTCACACTCGTACATACACATTCATGATGATAAATAAAGAGTCGAAAAAAAATCCACTGCATACATTAAAAGTCATGGAAAAATGAAACTTTTAACCCTCCTGCTATTAAGAGGAACTTTCCATAACATTGTTATTTTAATGTTGTAAATTTTGTAGCACAGCTATAATTAATAAAATTAAAAGAATCCAAAGAAAAAAGTTTTATGAAGTTGCGAATGCTTTGCATGTAGATGTGATGTAATGATGCTAAGTTATCTACCTGATTTCATTATCACGCGTGATTGAAGTTTTAATTTGAATTTTTTTGAAAGAGTTTTTAATTTAATTTGTGATGATTTTTTTAATTTCCTGAAGTTGCTGATTCTAAGAATCAATTTGCATAAGATACACAAATTAAAAACGTGAATGCTTCAAGCAATTATTAAAAGGCATTCATAAATATCAATGCATCTGGATTGTAGGTTTGAAATG